TAATTAATATACGTTTTTGTATACTGCAAGGATAATTTTTTTATAACTAAGGTGTTTTGATTTATATCTTTGACAGAATAAAATAGGAAATTAGATGCAGTTTCAATATTTTTTCATTTAAAAGTATTAACTCTATCTAAAAAATAATATTAACAATTAGGGCTAAAAATTTATTAAGGAATAAACTCTTGAACAATAAATTTTTCATTAGTAAATTATTTTGAAAATAAAAGCAATTTTAATATATCAATTCCTCAATAGATATTTCCTAGTTTAAAAATACTTTTTAGACATCTTTTTTAAATGTAATTAATCAAAAATTTTTGGAGAGAGTCAAAAAAAGATTGTAAACCTGAATTTAACCAGAATTAATGACTAATTGAGGTAAAATATAAGAATAAAAATAGATTAGACTAATAGATTTATTAATTACTAATAATATTTTTGTTTCAAATATTGTTTTTACTTTGCCCCAAAATTTGTACTTCCAAAATTATCAATTCCAATTTCTTATCGGAAAAATTTATGATGCTCAAATGATTTATTAAGCAATTATAATGAGAAAGTTAAGGATCAAAATTTGCTCATTTACAATTGAGTAGAATTTAAGAAAGAATTCAATATAATATTTAATTTCCTTTATAATATAATGCCTGATACATTTTAAATTAATTCAAGGTTCTTTAAGATTATAATTCTTATAAATATCAGAAAATTATCTTCGATTGATTCCATTATTCTTTTGAAGAATCAGGTAACTTTTTCATTTTAGATTTATAATCTTAATTTATATTTAATATTATGAAAATTAAAATCAAAATGAGGACAAAAATAAAAAACCTGTATTCTCTATTCCTTTTTTAATACAAAATAAAAAAAAATTAGATAATATTCTTTAATTATTATGCTTAATAGATTACAAAATTATCAAATTTTTGCACTTATTAAAAAAGCCTTTAAGGTCTTTTTGTCAATATTTGTGTATTTTAAGAACTTGAATTAAATAGAAATTTCATATTGATATTCCATATGTATAAATAAATTGATAACTCTTTCTTATTTATTATTATCTCATCTCAATTTTTCATTTCAATTTAGTAGATTATTAATAGATAATCTTTAGCTTATTATTTTTAAATTATTTCATCAAATGAATAAAATAGAACAATTAATCAAAATTCATTATTGCTCCATTAATTATAAAATATTTATTATAAATTCAAATATCTCTTGCTTTAATATTTACTCTTTGTCATCCTATAAATTCTAATAAATACAAAATTTCAGTTTCTTTGTCTCTTCCAAAAATATTTTATACATTTTGATAGTTATAATAATCTTATCTTACCTTACTTTGCCATCCCTATTCCTAATCCATCTGATTGAATTTACACCGTTTCTAACTTATATATATTTATACATTCTTAAATTCCTCTAATCTCTAAAGTAAGTATATATAAAATGTAATTAAATCAAAGATAGAATGTATTTTATCTTTTTATTTAAGGCTAAAGCTCAAAGGAATCTCATATCTTTTCTGAGGCATTATGAATTGAAAATCGACTATACATTTTTTCATTCCATTAAACTTATTCCATTTATCCTTAAAAATTATTTTTAATAAAAAATAGTTTCTATTAATTATTTCATTAAATCCTCTATCTTGTATGGTAGTGTCATCCGACAATATTGATATATAGGAGAAATATTAAATCTATTCATTATCAGAATAATTAAATACTTACAATTAAAAAGGTATTTCATTCAAATCTTGAAAATATAATCTGTATTCCAAATTTTAGATTTATACTAATAAATTATAAAAAATAAAAAAAATTGATATTCTTCTAAAAAATAGTTTTCATAATCATTTACCTTCTCAAAAATGAGAAAATTAAGGAAATAAATTTATTTGTTGTTTAATTCAATTTTTTGATTTAATTAATTCATATTTAATATATAATAATGATTTATATTTGAATATTATAATTATCATTCTTGTCTGTATTTTCTAATTTATATTTCTTTTGATGAGTCATCCCAAGTTATTAAATAGTCTCCCTCATCACTTAATGATCCAAATATGCATTTTGTATTAAACTGAATGGATTACTAAATTTCAAATTGACCATTTTCTGTCTTTCTTATAAACTCAACATATTTATCGTGTCGATTCACTAATAATTATTTTGAATTTATATATTATTATGGAAAGAATATATAATAATCATTACCTTCATTAACAATAACATCTTTAGTTTTATTGAATGATTTACTTACATTATTCATTTCATAGACTTACATCAAATTGCCTTCTATTGGTTTAAATGTAAATAAATTATCATCTATAAA